TATATATATATATGTATATGTATGTATAATATATATGAATGTATATATATATATATATATATGAAAGTGTGTATGTATGCATGTATGCACCTATGCATGTATGTATGTATGTATGTATGTATGTATGTATGTATGTACGTATATATATATGTATGTATGTATAATATATATGAATGTATATATATATATCTATATATGAAAGTGTGTATGTATGCATGTATGCACCTATGCATGTATGTATGTATGTATGTATGTATGTATGTATGTACGTATATATATATGTATGTATGTATGTATGTATGTATGACGTATGAATATACGTATATATATATTTATATATATATATGCTAGCGATGTGATCATATATTGTATTTCAAATTTTTCTCGCAAGTCATACTTTAGACGAGCTGCAGTCTATCAACATGCTTTTCCCCAGCCAGGTTCCCATGGTGAGTTTCTTGAGCAAAGTATCCGGTATATGATGGCTATTGTCCCCTTTGGCATTCTCATGCCTTTTCCCAGTTGCACTTTCTAGTCTCTTGTCCCGAGCCAATCCTTCGGCATCAAAGCCATTATCCTTTTCCCCGTCAACCTGACTACCATCATACTTTTCACTGGAATGGTCCTTAGTTTCATCATACTTCCTAGTTGCTCCTATTTTTGTAACGAGAACACCTAAATGGTCTAAGGCATGCGAACGTTTGGCCACACTGTCCGATTCTTCTACATCGATTGCTGCCCGTTTACTAGACATGTTGGATGTTGTATCTTGTCAATAAAGAACGAACACTATATACAATATATGTATATAGGTGTACGCAACTACTGTCAAGTATAGAAGGGCTATTTATGTACCATCGAGTCAGAGTACATCAGTACATACGACCTCCGGAGTATAAAAAAAATAAAGTAATAATATTTTTATGTGTTTTTTTACTTTAAACACTAGGTAATAATGAAAAATAAAATATAAATAGCCGGCCGACTGGCCGCCCGGTCTACCATAAAAAGTAAACCGTTTAGTTTTGACGGGAAGCAGTTTTGTCGTATTTCCCATAGGGATGATATTATTTATTTCCAAAAAGATAAGTTACAATGCATGGATGTTACAATGTATGTACATATGGTATGGCTCTCATAGCCGTTGTAGTGGTTCGGGAAAAGATCGATGGGAAGAAATGGTCAGTAAATTCCCGTTTGAAACTTGGGCCAAGTGAGTCGACGATGGAGGATATACGCTGGGCCAATTCGGGCCGGTGCTGACAAAAAAACTGACACCATCGAGTGTGCCATGTATTCGCTTGCTGACCTACTAAATAGCGTACCCACTTACAGATCGGGTTTGATCCGTGTAGTGCCGTGGAATGGGTTAGTGCAGAGTACGAAATACAGAGTAGGACCAGGTTATCTGTCATAATTCGGTCGAGGAGCAAGGATGGGGGTGAGTCAATGCCGCACCAGACCACGGATGCACTCGGCATGTGCTGGCAGGGCCTAGAATGGAAGTATCATAGGCGGAACCAACAAGCGCGATGACTTGGTTTGGACCAAAATTTGGAATTAGTACTTCAACAGCGTGATTAGCCGGGGTTTGGGGAGCATCTGTTAATGTGTCAGAGACGAGTGAGAGTACGGTTGTTCTTCTAGTTCTTATAGCCTCTTAAAGAAGACAGTCCTTTTCTGTCCAGATCAGCAATGTAGCTAGTCAAAAGTAAAGTAATGGACGCACCCATTATGCAATATCCTGTGGATGGCGTCCCATTCTAAGTAGCAACCGACGCTTCAGATCGAGCGGTATGTAGAGTGCTCTACCAAACGATAAATGGTAAATTGCGCTACATACAATTCTTTAGCAAGAGTTATAATAAGAGTCAACGGAGTTATCCTACCGTTAAACACGAGCTCTTTGCTATAGTTACTGTGCTAAGACAGTTTAAAGACTACATTTATGGAAGTTGCTTCACTGTCGCCTGTGATCAAAAATCTTTAACATTTTTAAAGGACATGAACCCTGATTCACAGTTGATGAGCCGCTGGCATGACATTATCGCTAAGTTCACTTTCAACATTACACATATACCAGGAATACATAAGCATCTTTCTGACATGCTCTCTCGTCTTGTCCATGACTACCAGTAAACAGTTAAAGAGTTATTGGCAACCGATTGGATGCTGAGTAAGAAATGGTTTAACCTCGCTCAATCAAGATGGGGTCCTTTTACTATTGAGATGTTCGCCGCAGAACATAACAAACGGATTTCTGATTAGGGGTCGTTGACTCATCCTAAAGGCGATGCCTTTCAACTTGACTTATCAAAGCATAATGCGTGGGCTAACCCACCTTGGCAACTTATCGCACAGTTGATAAATTATGTTGATAATACTAATGTAGAAATACGGCCTCCGGTCAGCCTAAAATATCAAGATCAAATGAGATAACACATTGGTTTTTAATTGTATTTAAAATAATTTAATACAAGATCTTTTTCCAATATTTCCAAAGTGTTCTAAATTCATTTTGATGGCTCCAATAGCCTGAGTATTTGGTATGACTCATTTACTTGGACCTATTTGAGACGCTAGTAGATTTAGGATACTATAAACTAAATTTTATTATCTCTGAACTACTACTTACAGGTTTTGGTCTTCCCGCCAATCTCCAAAATCCAATAAGTCCTTTTCTTTTTTAACTTTTCTTCAGATGGAACTTTATTTATATTAGCTAATGTATTAACTTGACTTATGTTCTTATGTCTATTTACAAATTAGACATGTGATCATGAACACTTAGTACTTCTAGTGAAAATTTTTCAATAAAGAAAAGCTAGAGGTACGTCCTGTGTGATCAAGGATATTAAGGCTCTTACCAAGATGTAGTCCCGATCATTCTTACACAAGCTACCACTGCTAAATCCTAACTGACTTAAATTGTATCTTAGTTTATATAACATAGATTAAAACGTAGAAATATCTCTCGAAGTTTACATATTTTTCAGTTATTTAATAGTTACCGTAGTGTACTGCTTCTAGACGGTCTACTAATTGCTTTCTATCCAGCAACAGGACTGTAAGTATTCTATACTATCTCATAGTGGCTAATGCTACCCTAAAGTTAGCTACACGCTAGTTACTATACCTAGACTTTATTAATTTTCCTATTCTTGAGCTGTTACTATGGCTAAAGAAAATTCTAAAGGCAAGGGAGCCGTCAGCTCTAAGCTTGATCAGCCTGTTGAGGTTCCTGAGGTTACTGAGGACGCTGGTCCGTCTGGTACTGTAATAAGCCGGGCCTCTACATTAGACTCTATGTTATAGACGTACTCTTAAGCAGTACACAAATTATAAACGTACTCTTAATAGTACGAGGAACTTAAGCTTCCTAAATGTACTCTTAATAGTACGAGGAACTTAAGTTTCCTAAATATACTCTTAATAGCACGAGGAACTTAGGGTTTCCTAAAATGGTTTTAATGGTTTTATTAATTAATACCTTTTCCATTTTACATATCAGATATTTGGACGAGGCCATTAAAAGGCCTCAGTAAAGTACCAAACATAAAGAGTTGGTCTAATTCTATTAATATAACTTTTTTTAATTTCCAATTTTATTTATATTTGAATTCTTCGGTAGCGAGATGGCTCAACCGAATATAGGTTTCTAGGGACTATTAACGTTACCAGTTGATCCTCCGGTCAGCCAACCAGATGTGCGACTACAGAGATTATACTCGCAAGAAGACATGACTCTAATGCCCCTCTTGACCGTTTTGAATCTAAAGACATTATCTGGAGAACGGATAAGGGAGGCCTATGTGGTACAATAGCTGAGTTGACTTCAGATGCTTTCGATAATCAAGATTATTTAAACGCCTGCATTAGTCACAAGCTGAAAAAGATAGCATGTTTCCATCGTCTGAAGGAATGGAAGTTAAAACTTATCCGCCTACAGCATTTATCGCGAGCCTTAATGCTCATCCTTCATATGTGCTTAAGACACTGAAACGTATGAAACG